ACCATTCAAAAAAAAAACAAAACAAAAAAACTCTCCATTTACCTTTGATATTAAGTGGTATATTAACTCTGCAGGGAATAAGCACTTCACAAAATAAAATTCCTATGATTTTCACAATGATTACTGTTGCTGAACATTTAAGTCTGAGGGGCATAAAACAGAGAAAGTGCTGAGAAGGGATTTTCCTTTTTGTTCAAATATACGAGCTTACACAATTAAATTCGCAAACTCATCCTAGAAAAAGTCCTACATACTTCATTGCTGCATATCACTATGGTCACCTTCGAAGTACCCTCCTTGAGAGTGACGCACTGATGCCAGCGCCTAGTCCACTCTTCAATGCAATTTTGGAACTCTTTCTGGAATGGCCATCAGAACTGTTGTGTATTACCCTTGATGTCCTGAATGTCATCAAAATGTCTTCCTTTTAATATTCCCTTTATCTTCAGGTAAAGAAAGAAGTCATTGGGGGCCAGATCAGGTGAGTAGGGAGGGTGTCCCAATACAGTTATTTGTTTACTGGCTAAAAACTCCCTCAGACAGTGCTGCGTGAGTTGGTGCATTGTCATGATGCAAGAGCCATGAATTGTTGGTGAAATGTCCAGTTCGTCTAACTTTTTCATGCAGCCTTTTCAGCACTTCCAAATAGTAAACTTGGTTAACTGTCTGTCCAGTTGGTACAAATTCATAATAATCCCTCTGACATCAAAAAAGGCTAGCAAAAGCATTACAACAAGTTTGCGAACTTAATTGTCAAACCTCATATCTAAAATTCTCTGATGAAACATTTATCATTCTTTTCAGGTTGAGCTCAGTGGAAAATATGTGAGTTCCCATTACTCTGCGATCCCTACGTGCAAGAGTCCATTAAAAACACCTCCAACATAGGCAACACTTGGCCTCCATTTAGGGGAAATCAAGATTACAGGGGAAGGAGCCACAAACCTGTGCTAAACTAAGAGGCCACAAATCTGGAGTTGGCTTAAATTCTCCTATTGGGGAATTCATCTGCTGTCCAATTCAAATTTTGGAAGAATATTGAGGAAGCATGTATGGGTATAAGCACTTACAGGTTAGAATCCTTTTCTATTGGCCAGTGCCGCTCTAGAATAGCAATACTCATAACATATAATCATTTCTTTATAGGCTTCTCTTATTTCCTGGGATGGCCCATATTTATTTTACACCAATCTGTCCGACAATGGTGCTCTATATGAGGGAGAGAAAATTATAATTCCCATCCTCAAAAAATGTATCATCTAGTACAGAGGCCAACAAATCATCATCCGTGCCAAATATGATTGGTTTTATAGAGCCCACTAGTTAAGAATGGGTGTTGTATTTTTAAACAGTGGAAAAATTTTAAGACAAAAATATTTTGTGACATGAGAATTATATGAAACAAATTTTAGTGTCCATAAAAGTCTTACTGGAACACAGCCATGCCCATTTGTTTACATGTTGTCCCTGGCTGAATTGAATGGTTTTGACACAGATGATTTGTACTGCACAGCCTAAAATATTTACTGCCGGGCTCTTTAAGAAAACGTTTGTCCACTCCTGATCTGGTGTAATAAGCAAATCAAGAGTAAGTGCTAATAGCAGGTAAGTATCTGGTGCTGTGAATACACAGAAAAGGCATCTGGGACTCTCCATGGTGAGGAACTGAGAAGGGCTGGTTAAAAGCTTTGCAAAGAGAATCATCTGAGCCAGGGTTCCTTCTCCTGG